GGTACGGTGAACAATGGAACCGGATTGGGTGTGTCGCTTTAGGATATCGCGACCTGAAGATGGCGTGATGACCAGTGTGGACGAAGTGGCAGAAGCAGAATCGCAGAGGTCGAATTCTGGTCGACCACCGTAATCCGTCATGTTATATGTAGAAACCTGGACGATAAGAAAAATTTGCTCGCGTATCAGAGAAGGTTGGAGTGGGTGGCAAGAAAAAGATTTTGCCGATGTACTTATTTATTCAATGTGAAATGATATGATGGAGGTTCAAGGACTAGAAAAGCCCGTGTTTACCAATCCTCACCACGTCGCCGAAAGAAGGTTTTCCTCGATATCAATTCTTCTAGTTTCGAGCTACGGATCGCACTCGAGGACTCCTGGAGGGGCAATAGCCTCAATACGTTCAATACGTTTTACAGCGGTGGCAAAGGGGAGAGGAGTATCTAAATGATCTTTTAAGGCGTTGTAACCGCCAAACGAGGAGCCAAGACCGAACAAAGCTTACCAGATAGGTGTCTTTGGATGAAGTATATATAGTTGGGTGGCCGACAGAGGCCTTGAAGGAGAAGGTAAAGAGCAAGTAGTATTTGATATTCTTCATGCAGTCACGGTCGGTTTCAACGCGTCAACTTGGAGGCATGGCTCCAATGAGGACTCGGAGTGTGTTCCGAATCCGGTTTGGTCAAAGCGGTCCAAAGCAAATTTGGCGATTTGCACCGCCTTGTACATTATATGTACTTTCCACCCATTATGATACATACATTAGCAAAACTTGTCAAATAAAGGATACAGTAGCCAATGCAAAGATGTTCCAAGAGATCATTGATTACAAAAAAGAGCATTCAAATCACAACACAAACTTCTCCTCCACTTCAACCAACCCGTCCGTCAACTTACTTACCGTAGCCCATTTGGGTAGATAATTTAGCACCTCTTCAAACGCAGGTATCTTTCCACCCGAGATACGTTCTTCAGACGGTGATGGTACAGGCGACGTCGACAAACCCATACCGACCATTCCGCTTTCATATTCTGCCCATTCGCAAGCGACACGTCCAGTATGCGCTGTTGTCTCTGTGTAGGCTGAGAATACGTTCTGATGAGCAGCACCTGTTGGGTCCATTTCTGAGAAAGAAGACTCGGACTTGTTGGACCATTGGACATCCACAACAAACGACATTCCCCATGTCCGGGTCCAAAGTCGCAACATATCGTAGTGATTAGACTCGAACCCACGCTGGACTCCCCAACTCGCCTCGTCATCGTCTACCTGGACATCACTTTGGGTTGAGTTGATAGTTCGAACATGGAACTTCTCGACCGCGTGATCAAAGTACAATCTGCATGCGCGATTGTTATTTCCTGTAATGAAAAATCGAGCACCAGAATTTCCACTAAAAGTCGTAGATGCAGCGTGAGCCTCGAACCATTGGTTGGTCGAAGATGCCCAGTCCCACATTGTGCGATTCGTGTTCGCGTGCGCAACAATAACTTCGCTAGCGACGGGCACCATACTCAACCCATCGAAAAATGCAATAGATGAATTATGAGTTTCCCAGCTACATTTCGCCAACCCAGTTTTTCTCTCATCAACGTCATTATCTGAGCACCCACCCGGCCGTCCGCTAGCCAACGAGTGTCGATAGGATGGAATGGAAGGAAGTATCAGATCGTGAACAAAAGGTGCAGCGCCTGTTAGGGTAGTCACGATTCTTCCCGTTGCTGAGTCGATTCCGTTGGCAGAGGGTGTCAACTCCACCTTTTGCTGGAAGAACACCTTCAGAGGTGCATCTTCCGAAAACGGGAACAGTCCGCCTTCAAAGCCTTCAACGCCTCCGGACCAAGTTCCAGACCATGGAATCCATGCCAACGCAGTGCAAGCAACCCACACAATGCCCAGCATCCAGAATAGATACCGATGCACTCTCCGAGCGCCGAGGAACGGTATGGTAGGAAGAGAAGCGATAAGCGAAAGGAGAGATATCACGGCGTATACCGTTACGGCGGGACTTCCGTCGATCATAGTTTGATTAACTGAAGGGATGAGGAAGATAGCCATATGAGATACAAGTATCAGAGGAATTGGAACGTAGATGAGGAGGACAAGAATCCACAGGACATATGGATGTGGATTTTCAAATGAGTCTGTGCCCGCTTTTGACTGGTTCTTAACGATGCGGAGATATTTTCGGCCAACAAGAGGGGTACGCTCATTGACCTCTGCTGTCTCATCCTCTTGTCCGGTGACATCATCCCTAGAGACCTCAGCGACCTTCAGTTCTGCAGTTTCTGCAACACCGAAACAACCTGCAACACCGCATATCACTGCGGCGAACCATGTGAGTCCCTTGTAAGCGCTGGCCATGTACAATATGCCGCCTAGTCCGAACTGCGTGATGCTGACAGTGGACAACAAAACCAAAAGCCAAGAGAAGATGTATGCGTGGATTAGGAGCGTGCGGAAAGATGCCCACGCCGGAACATTCGTTGTGGTAGGAGCTCGAGAGAGTATCAGGATCTGGGCATTTTTGTTGATGAAAGGAGGTGAAAGAACCAGCGCTAGGACGAGAATTGAGAGAGTGAACGAGGACAGAATTGGTATGGAAGGGAATCCATAAACCACCTGTGCAAAGATCATCTCAGCTGAGAGCTAAGGTATATTAGAAGACTTACGAAGGGATTCAGATTGATGAAGCCAGCGACTAATGCGATTTGGGCTCCAATGGTAGTGGATAGAGCAATCCAGAACCGTCCATGCTTCCATAAAACACGAGATGAAGCACCAAATCTACGCTTGACTTTGATCCAAGTGCTCTCATTCTCGTTTTGCTGAGTATGAGCTTCCTCATGCTCGGAAGGCGACTCTTCTACAATTGTACCGCCCGGAGAAAGCATCTGCGAAGCCGAGGACTCTGTTTCAAGTTCTGTCGGACGGACTACACTCGGAGAAAACGTTGCTCGCTGTCTTTTGACGGCGCGGGAGCGAGCAAGTGCAGTTTCGGAAACGGCAAGCAGGATGAGAACGATCGGACCTACAATGAGAGCCGTGATATTGAATGTAAGAAAATCGGTGAGTCGGAAGAGGATGAAAACAGAATTGAATACTGATTCAATGTCAGAGAGGAAGCGATGCATACATTGACAGAAAACGTACACTCAAAGAACACTGCTTTTTCGGTTACATCTGGTGACGCATCTGGGTCGTTAGCAAGAGCAATAGCAGCTGTCGATGCTGGGTTCAGCATGGCCCACAACGCTTTGTCTCCACCATCTGTGTACGGAATCGCGTCATACTTTGTATGATACTTGGATCGACCACGGTAAAATGCAAAGTCCAAGCCTCGTAAAGGGGCAAACTTGGTTGAGTCCAGTGGACTAGGTACGGCGAATTGATTCGTGTAAACAGAGTAGTCCGTTGAGCTGCGAATGAGGCCGAGGTTGAACGCTTCGGCAGAGATAATGTTCGCGTGAGGAGTGTCCACATTTCTCCAGCTTTTAACAGGTCCGAGATCAGTGGCACGGAACATTAAAGGACGACCGCCGCTACCTGCTCCCTCGAGGTTGAGGAAGCTGGATCCATACAGGTTAGTGTATTCAGGATGGGATGTGTTCTGAATCCAAGGGTGCTCGAGGAGGATGTGAGCGCCGTTTAAGCCATCTTCCTCGCCGTTGTTGATGTTGAAGAGGACAGTCCTATGAGGTGGATGCGTAGAAAAATACTGAATGAGCTGCAGCAAGGTGGCAATGCCAATCCCATCGTCAGTTGCTCCTGCTGCTGTGGAGACACAGTCAAAGTGTGCAGAGAAGAGAACAGCCGGAAGTGGTGGATTCGAAGGCTCAGCAGCTCCGCGTATTTTTACAAGAATGTTGTTTCCTTCAAAATAAGTTCCGAAATTAGAGCTGCCAAAGCTACTTGTCCAGGAACCATTCGTTGATATATCGTCGTCGATGATAAATTCGTCGCGTAGGCCTGATTGGAGCCGGATGTCGTTAATTCGTTGGAGAAGGTAATCGCGAACCACGTCATTGGCATGCGAATGATATGGATGTGGTCGAGCAGCAAGAATATGAAGGTCCTGAAAGGCTTCTGTAACATTCAAGTTTCCGTAAATTGACTTCAAAATAGATGGAGAAGGAACTGTAGATAACTGGTCGGTGATGAGTGTTGAGAGCACGACGACAATGTAAACGAGGGCAAGAAGAATAGTAACAGGAGCTGTTAGAAAGCCCGTCGTCCGGGCAGATGCAATACGAATCTTGTCAGCAAGAGACATGGATGGTGGAAAGCTCACCTCCACCAACAAGCAGCCCTTGATGAAATTCAAATTCAAATGACGACATAATGAACGCGGTTTGGGTTCCGGCCCCGGGCTTCTCTTCCCGCGTTCAATCTAACCTAGCTCACCGAAAGATACCTGAACAAATACCTCTCGTCAACAAGGTACACTGCAAGCTAAATTCTTGATACAGTGTTCGCAAGTTTCAAACCTTTTGTCACGACAAATAATCACGTTTTGAATGTAGAACCAGTTCGAACTGGATCGAAGCACAAATCACGAAAAAGGGGTCAGACTCAACTGTGACACAAGTGTCCGTCATCCGATAACTGTGACATGGACTTCTCATACTCTGTACTGTATATATTGTACACCGACGTTGACCAGGTGTTGCGCCCGATGAGTACAAAATATCATTTTTTCGGATATCAGATTACAACTGCGAACTGATACCCTCTACTAGTATCTCTGGGTCAAGATTTGCCAATTGAGCTGTAAGAAATGTTCCTTGAGTTTTAACATTAAGTATCTGGCTTGAGCTATGTGCAATATTTTCGGAGTATGTTTTGGTACCTTTCATTCTTTGTATTCTGAAATCTTGTTGTGTTTACAGTAAACAGTTCCTCCGATTTTATGCCACCTCCTCGTATTGAAGAAACGTGCCTCTTGTCGTCAAACTTATAGGAATCAGGGAGTGTTCAACTAGTGTCAGAGCAATGCCAGGCCCACTTAGCTCAGATGGTAGAGCTTTGTACTTATGGGGTTACTTTATGTCTACGCATATTGTGAAATGCAAGGGTCGGCAGTTCGATCCTGCCAGTGGGCATAGTTTTTGCATTCTTGCTATACTACCGTACCTGCCGGCTTTCAAATGCTAGGAGCGTTCGAAAATGTTTCCCCAGTGCCTTCCTTGTTCCGCAAGCTGAAAGTTTAACCGAAGATTTTGAGATATTTTTTACAAAATAGCTGGTATCATTATTTACACAGCTCTCAACGTACAAAAAAAGGGTATGTGTGAGGAGTTACAGTCCCTATGGGTGCCTCTACATATTTCTCCGGAGGTACCCAGGGCAGAAATTCGAATCCAAGAGTATGGAGGTTTGAGAAAGGAGTGTAAGCGCTTCTGTGACAAGACGGTGCCTGTGACATTGATGTGACAGATTTTTTCTACTAGGACGCCCGACTCCGGCTTTGTTAGTACCATCCAACCACAAGATATATGTATTGCTATTATGATTATGAGTGCTCACACAGCTTAAACACATCCTCTATCTGAGATCCAAAGACAAATTTCCAAAGTGAGCTTTGTTTCAAAATTCTGGCAGCGCCTGCACGCCTTGACAGGTGTGAAGCTTAAAATGTCCTCGGCATTCCACCCTGAGACGGACGGCGCGAGTGAACGGTCCAACAAAACCATCAACCAGGCCATCCGATTCCACGTTGAACGTAACCAGAAGGGCTGGGTTGCTGCTCTGCCTAAGGTTCGTTTTGATATCATGAATTCTGTTAATACCTCAACAGGCTTGTCGATGTTTGAGCTACGCTACGGTCGCTCCCCGCGTATTCTCCCTCCACTTGTTCCCTCGCCTGACCCCCGTTCACGTCGCCCAATCTCTGATCCTGATGATGCTGCCTCGTTACTGGCCCGGCTTTCAACTCTGGAGCGGGAGGCCCGTGATAATCTTTACTGCGCGAAAGTTCTACAAGCCTACCATGCTGACAGAACACGTGGACCCTGTGATATCTTCGAGGTTGGGGATTTCGTCCTGCTTTCCACGCTTCATCGACGCCAGGCCTATAAGAAGGCTGGTGAGAAGCGCGTTGCAAAGTTTTTTCCTCGATTTGATGGGCCGTATAAAATCATCAAGGCTTTCCCTGAGACATCGCATTATACTCTCGATATACCTCCCCAGCCGAACATATTCCCATCCTTTTACGTTGACCAGCTTAAGCGGTGGACTCCTAACGAGGCATCCCTCTTCCCGAATCGCGAGCACGCTTGGCCTGCCCCCGTGATTGTTGATGGTTTCGAAGAGTTCATGATCGAGCGCATTTTGGATGCTCGGAAACGCGGGCGGGGCTGGCAATTCTTAGTACGTTGGTCTGGCCAGCCTCCCAGTGAAGACCGTTGGCTGCCCTACTCTGCCCTTCGGGATTGTGCCGCTCTGGATGACTGGGCACGATCTGGTGGGGATGGCCCTGATGTCAATGATGTCTCTGCTTGATATTTATGTTGCTGCTGTTGCTCTAATTCACCCGTTCTTGGTGCTTGCTCATTTTGCTCGCTGCTGGTTGGGTTCTTCCTTTCGAAATGGGGGAGGATGTAAGCGCTCCCGCGCTTAGTTCCGGCTTCTCGACTCCCGAGACTACTTATGGACCATACTTACTTAGCTTCCTTCTTCTCTTTTTACCTTACACTCCATACAACTACTTGTATCGTACGATCACCCTACATCGCTCTGGAATACACGGTGTTCCTATCATCTGGTCTGATCGTGAGTATCGTCGTTGTACACGACCATTACATTTTTTTTTTCCAAAGTGAGTATCAAGGAATGTAAAGTTTGAAAAATTCCCCTGACATGATACTACATATAGCCCGCATACGTGAATCAATCGTCCGACGATTATGTACAGGCAGAAATAGTTAATCCAGTTGAAGTTGATACTACAGATACCTCCTTCCAACGTGTTCAACGATATTCCATGTTTCAAGTGAACGATGAGGATCATCAGAATCTAGAGGCGTAGGTATACTAGGTAGCGTTAAGTTCGGCAGGTTACCCAATCTATGTCTCATGTATGTTTGTATAATCAGCTGTTCAATCCTGCGAGAGAAGTAGAATGAGCATTGCATCCAGCGGAGACGATGCAGGAGATAGGTTCAAGAGCATATTGCACAGCGAATCTGACGCGTTGACACCCCACGATAAACGAAATGCTCACCGGCCTTTCACAAGAAACGTCACCCCTTGATTAAGAAATCCTTTCAGAATCTGCATTTCGAGACCTTGATACAGGCCTTGAATCCCAGCAACTCCCTCGTTACCGTCGCATCTCTGCGTTCTATCTCGATTGTAGCGCCCTTCGTATGCATCAAGCATTATGGATATCAACGTCGGGGCTGAAACTGTTGAGTGAGTAGATTCTGACGAACTTGATGATTTATGGGCAGCTTGAAGACGCGTTTTGGATAGGATGAGAGGGTAGAGCAGTGCTACCGCTGGAAAGAAGTTTCATAATGAAATTAAGAGAGAGAAAAGCGAGCCCACCAACTGAACTTGACACTGCCCCACCAAAAAACGCTTCTAAGGGTGTTGGATCCAATACGGCTGGTTGGGCTCTGTGGGGTGATCGACGGGTTATCGTCAATAGTCGTCGAAAGAGTTGATAGAATGCCAGAGTTATTGATGGATTGAGTGAGAGGAGTATTGTTGTATTGAATCCTGCCAGTATCATGAGAAAGAGATGAGGCCAAGGTGGATATATCATTGGGAACAACATACCACGCCAAAATCCGCTTAAACCTTCTTCTTCGTAGATCTCCTTCACAGCCTGAACAACTGCATTGCGATGTCCCTCTCGCTTACTATTATATTCCTCCGAGTCATGCCGTCCTATTTGCAGTCGCAAAGTGATTATAGACAACGGCATTGAAACAACTCGCGAAGCAACGCCGGACAAGAAACCTAGCGCTAAATCCTGCCATACGGCTAGTTTGATGGAAGGCAGGGATTTGGAAGAGATTGACCTTGGTAAAGAGGTACTATTCAACTGAGACCTAGTGAGGCGTCTGACGAGGAGCTTGCGGAGAAAGGAGTATATGTAGAAATAGAAGAAACTGTAAGATGAAATCAGGCCGGTCAAGAGATATAGATTGAACTCAAAATCTCCCACTTTGAAATAAGCGTACTCGCAGTATCAGTAAATAGACCATCGTAAAGGGCCCCGACGCCATCTGATTGGACAATGGAGCGTAATATTCTAACAACTTTCAATTGGAGAAATCTTTCAAGTTGTTTCGATGAGTCCAATGCAGACGAATCCCCGCGCTCTTGCTCCTTGTTCTTCTCTTTGTTTGATCCTTGCATATTGGTGGCGAGTCGCGTATCTGCAGCGGGAGAAACCAGTTGCACTCTGGTAGTGACTAGATCCAATGGATACGTTAGGGTATTAGCCGAAGCGCTGCCTATGGCTCCAGATATGGCTTGAACAAGTGGTGGAAAGGCGGATGTCATGGTATAAACGAGTTCAGACGAACGTCTTGGAGACCAGAAACCTGGAAAGTTGGGGGAAGGTAAGTAATAATTCAAGTTGAAGCCGAAGCCGGTACCCAGCTACGTCATTTGCTTTGCCCTTTGCAATTCCAGCACTAAGCGCGAACTCTTCTCTTTTTCTCTCTGTACTTTTCCAGTCATTACTGTGAGGCCGACATGGATCTATACTCTCAGCCACACCCTTAAAGATGCCTATCTCAGGTCCGATTCGCGTCTGGTAAAGCAGCGTCATTGGCCGAAACTTCATCTTCGTCCAGGCTCTTCAATAGAAGTAGTAAAGGCACTGCGGTAGAGAATGTTGAGCTATGATGAGGCATGCTGCTGTTCAGGTATTGTCATCCTCTCACATCCATCTCTCACGCAATTTTCACCCATTCTTTGTTCCGTTAAATTCAGATTCCTATCGTTGATAAACAACTCTGATATAGCAAGACATGAAACCGGTCTCCCAAGGCTCAATCATTCTTGGCGTTCACTAGTCACGATTGTTTCATATACTTTCATATCTCTGACTCCGTCTTTCTGATCGGTTGGACTTGGTCCCTCTTGGTTCCGAAGGCTGCTTTTCAGGAGCTATGTCCAACTGCTATCATATTCAACATTTCTCGTTCATCTGCTATGCCTACCGAACACCTGACGACTGTCCCCCGAAGTAATATCAAAGCAGTGCTACTTTACGCGGAAATCTATTGCAGATACCTGAGGCAACAGATGACTTTCAAGTTACACCAGGTCATACCCCCGGCCCCGTCATCGTACTTTAAGCCTTAGTATTTGAACACATTGGCACATCTTCGATGAAACATTCAAATTTCCTATGAAATTGTTCTAGTCCAGGCTCCGCAAAACAACTTACATTTAGGAGGAGGAAGAGGGCCAACAGGTTATGGGAAAGCCGGAACAAATGATCCATCGGAGAGGACTTGGGGATAAGGGCTATCCATCGCTAAGTTATCCACTAGTGCCCAAATATACACAAACGCTTGGTAAATTGGCGATATAGACCATTGCACAAGGCTGTACTCAAAGTGAAGGAATTACTGTAAGTACTTTCTCGTATACAATCGGAAGGAAATGGGTAATATTGTTGATCCGGTTTCAGCAACAACTGAATGTGTCCGGGAAGGTAGGATTACTGTACAACGATTCATTTCTGTTCACATAGAGTGCTGATGTTCATTTGACGAAATAACGACGATCAGGCTGTTGAGCGCTTCTATCCCTCCAATGATATATAAGGGGACGTCTAACGCGGAATTCGTTGCAGTTGCACCTTTCAGGCTGGTCCTATTCGTGTTACTCAAAAGTTCTTACGAGCATTCCAGTCATTCAAGAATCAATCGAGAGTCTCGACCAATCCACGATCCACAGTACTAGTAAGTCAGTTCTCTGGAACCTAGGTTGTGTATCTGACTGTTGCCTGCCAGCATTTTCCAAGCCAACGAATAATGTCTCTCTCCCTTGGGTTGAATTCTGTCCCCTTCCCTTCTGAAGCCGCTCCGTCGCCTTTGGTCACCCGACCGAGCGCTCTCCATCGAAGACGCGGCGT